GCCACGCTTGACAGGCGGGTTGGCAACTGAAGTTAAGCTTTGGAGATGTTTTAAGAGGGACGCTGCTGCCAATGCCTCGCCGTTTCTTTGTCGGCTCTTACGATGCCTACGGGAAAGGAAGGCAATATCTTTTTATACTGCCGACTAAATATATAAATTTTTACCTCCTTTAACTTCTATCTTTTTGAAGTCGGTTTAAAATTGAGTTCCGTTATTTACTATTTATTAATTTTTTGTTGTTTTTTTTTGCGGGGCAAAATAGATTTATTCATATTATACATACATGAATAAAAAAAATGAGGCTTGGACTTGACATTTGGGATTGCCTGGTCAACAACTGAGCGTTATGTCAATTTAAATTAATTTACTTTTACATTAATACTCGCCCACTATGTACTTTTTATTATAACAGATTGTGAATTGTCAATCTTTGTCGGGTGCCCACGGTACAGGCTCGCCTAGTGTGGGGCCCATTGCTACTTTTGTTTGTAACTTTGTGTTTTTATTAAATAATAAATTTCTATAATTTCTATTCTATATATCGATAGTTTTCTCTTTACAATGCATCTAATTTAAACATATTTTTTATACAACTTAGAATGGCAAACAAACTGACGGCTCATCTGATTGTAAGTGGTAACGGTCACCTATACACATAAGCAGTAACATGGACATAACAGAGAACACTGTCTCGCCCATGATACCTCCCATGCGTTGCCATTCCTGAGCACTAAGGTGTTATGCATCTCTACCCTGTAAATTCACTGCCATATCCCACCCTTCAAACCGAAACACAGCCATGCAAACACAACTGTTTCGCGGTAGAAACACGAATGGGACAGAGGTGCCCAAGCATACAACTTTTGTACGTATTTTATATTTGAAACCACTAAATTCGATTACTATAATTTAATTATAATTATTTTAATATAATATCTTGTTTCGCGGACAATGGTATGGCTTTTGTATAACCGCACGGATCCCCAAACGGGCGCCATGTTGGACCGCATTTCCGGACAGTATGATAATTCGAGGCCGGATGTCCGTGGCCGCTGTGTTTATATGCCTTTCAGATAGTTTCAAATTTAAGCTCTGAGCATTTTTGTACTGAATTCCCTACTGGAATTCACTAAAAGTTCTCATTTCACAATAATTTTGTTACTGTGAAGTTTTTAATAAAACAATACAGAGAATTATTATAGTTTTTCCAAATAATTTGCGAGGTAAACTAGATAACAGTTCTCTATCTGTTTTTCTATAACGAAAGGTTGTCTATAAGAGATTGCCGTAGCGATAAGACTGCCTTTTGTACCTTTATGTATATATTTTAATATGTACTTTAAGTTACGTTAGTATTTCACTTAAATTTTTTAATTGTCAATGTATATTTTTATGTTTTTGGTGCAATAAATAAATAAAAAAAAAGATTTTCGTGACATTTCAGTTTGATGTCGCGAGATACCAAGCCAAAACTCTAGTGGGCAAAATCGAAAAACATGGCGTCCTGTTAAGAAAGTTTTGTCTCAGTAAAGTTTTTTTTTCCATAGGAAGAAAACCGAAGGATTTGTCCAGTGGCAAACTAATAACCAGAGGGAGACTTTGTACAAAAGTCGATTGCTTGAAGCAGTTGTGTTTGCATGGCTATGTTTCGGTTCGAAGGGTGGGATATGGCGTGAATTTACTGAGTACAGAGGAATAACACCTGAGTCCTTGAGGAATGGCAACGCATGGGGGGTATCATGGGCGAAACAGTATACTCTGTTATGTCCATGGTACTACTCATGTCTATAGGCGACGATTACCACTTTTCATCAGGTGGGCCGTCAGCTTGTTTGCCATCCTAAGTTGTATATAAAAAAAGACGATATTGATTCCAATTTTTCCCATAAATTATTATAATTACTTGGCACTAATTGACTCGGCTAATAATTATTCCATTTTAATTTCAAATGTCTTATTATATTTTAATTAAATACCTTTTGAGGGTGAAAACGTCTTGGGCATTGGCAAATTAGCAAATACCTTTAATTGGTTTTTTATTCAAGTCAAAAAGAAAAAGCCATTAGAATTCCATGATTGCTTGAATTTATTAATAAAAAAAAATATATATTGCGTAGATGCAGCAAATTTGTTTTTTTTTATACAACTTAGAATGGCAAACAAGCTGACGGCCAACCTGATGGAAAATGGTAATCGTCGCCTGTAAACATGAGCAGTACCGTTGACATAACAATGTCTATAGGCTACGGTAACCGCTCACCATCAAGGTAGGCGGGGAGTATACTTATTTTGTACCTAATTTGTATTTAAAGTCGACACTGTATATTTAAGGTCAGCACAGTATAATTTCTTGCACGATAAACCCTTTTGATCTTATATTATTTAATTATATTCATAGTAATGAAGAAACTACACTTTTATAACAGAAAATATTAACCAAGCTTACGGTCACCATAAGCCATAGATACTTGCAACTCCAGGGGTGTCACATGGGCAATTTTTTAAAATAAAATTTTCATATTAAATTTTAGATTTTACAATGCATGGTGTATGGTTTATAAGAGACATAATGTGTGAGAGTTATATATATATATAATTATATATAATACATTGTATACTTTCAGTTGCTAGTTCTTAAATAGTTTTTCATAATTCTCTTCTTAGGATCACTCGCTCTAAGGACACAGCTCTAAAAGTAGAGTTTTTACAGTTGGTCTTTTAAATCCTTATTATTTGTATTTTTAGATTACACTAATCATTTACCATCCGGCGAGCCAAATGCTATTTGACCACGTTCTTCGCATAAAATAAATCACAACCTGCTCAGCATCTACAAACGTAAACAAGAGCTGTTGCAGAACAACTGTTGTTTTTTTTTTTGGCAAAAAAATAATAATAATGGCACTTGGCTTTGCGCCAGCCCTATTTTATCAGCAACATAACTTAGGTTACATAAAGTCGACTCGATCATGTGCGTTGAAAAGCACTATGATTTCTGAGCACGTGCGGCTAACATGGAGTTACTAAGACATTATTGTAGGGTTGCCACATTTCTGTTTTTATTATACTGTTTATTTTTACCACAAATAATGAGGTCGTTGTTTCGTTAAAAGTTCTGTACTGTCGTACACTGTATACTGTCTATCTGTCTGTCATGTCAATGTATTTGTCGAATAATAAAATTGAATTAATACTAAACGTAAGCGTAGTTCTTAAAATCAGTTCTCTCCTCATTCCTTAAATTAATATCTATACAAATCAATACATGTAATAAAATCGTAAATGGTCGCTGTCTGTACATGGAAAATATATAGGAAAAACCATTATAGGGGAGCTTTATGAATGCAATAGAATACAAAATAATGATTTTTAGAATTTAGCACGCTAATCTCAGAAATAAATGGCTTTAACGATTTGAATGCGGTGTTCACTAATGCATTACAGTTTGCACCACTTAACATTGTTTATTTTCTTTAGATAGATAGATAGATAGATGACCTTTATTACCAGTATTAAGAAAATAAAAAATTAAAACAACAAAAAGAAATAAAGAACAATTATTGTTGCTGGTAATAGGAGCTGCCTCAGCTGTTGCTACATATTGTACATCTCCAGCGAGATGTACCTATACAGCGCTGATTTTCAGGCGGCCCCTTAACTCCTTTACCTTTAGCATGCGTGCGGGTCGCCAATACCTATTTCTCGGATGGGAGACTCAACACGCTTACCAACAAATACATAAAACATTACAACAAATACATAAAACATTACAACAAATACATAAAACATTACAACAAATACACAAAACATTACAACAAATACATAAAACATTACAACAAATACACAAAACATTACAACCAAAACCGAAAAGAACAAACTCTGAATAAATTATCGCACTTCACAATGACAGCATCGTAAAAAAAATAAAAAAAACGAACGTGAAGCATCAGTTTCTCAACTGTTTTGAATTTCAATCGGTTCATAAATAACAAAGTTATAACGATTTAAAGAATCACATATAAAATGCTATAAAATAACCGATTAGTTGAATTGGTTGAAACATTTTTTTTTTATTAAAATTTATTGATTTTTGAAAATTCTGCGGTTTAAAGTACGGGGTCCTACTCAGGGTCGAGGAAAAATAAATAAAGTACATAAAATCTACCATTTTTTTTGCATGCTCTCGAGTCACTTGTGACAGCCCTACACTTGTAAAGTGAGACAACTGCAGGGGCAAGTACGTAAGAATTTGGGCGGGTTGATGAAGTTTTCTGTATGGGTTATGAAAACCTAGTAGCTACGAGTACTACGCACGGTACTGTAATAGTCGATTGGATACGTGACACTGTATGCGCTTTAGGTATGTCCTTTAAAACAATGTAGTTAATAAATTTGGATTGCGTAAAGCACCAGTTTTTTGCCCGCTACTTCGAACGCGTTTATTTTAAAAGTAGAAACATCTATGGAAGAGTGGTCCGTTTGGATCACTTCTTGTAGCATGTAGATCCTGGCATAGAATAGGCCAATCCTTTTTCGTGGGCATCGTAAGAAGCTTATGGTGGAAGGATGGGCAGCAGCGTCCCTCTTAAAACATCATCAAAAACCAAAATGTGGTTGCCGTTTTTTTTATAAAAAAAGTCGGTTGCTTGGGTACCTCTGTCCCATTCGTGTTTCTACCGTGAAGCAGTTGTGTTTGCACGGCTGTGTTGCGGTTTGAACGGTGTGACATGGCGTGAATTTACTGGGTACACAGGAATAACACCTGAGTCCTCAGGAATGGCAACGCATGGGGGTATCATGGGCGAAACAGTATACTCTGTTATGTGCATGGTACTGCTTATGTCTATAGGCGACGGTTACCACTTTCCATCAGGTGGGCCGTCAGCTTGTTTGCCATTATAAGTTGTATAAAAAAAAGAGCATTATTATTTGTAAATATCTAAAATTTTATTAATTTTAAGCTATTACAGTGTAATATAAATAAAGAAGTATGTACTTACATAATACGTTAATAGTGTGTGTGGCTACCACATTCTCAGTGAGCTGTGCGTTGATCCCGTGGCATACCACCACAATAGAGCGTCGGTTCGGCTCCACCACGACAGTGATATTTGATGTCGTTATCCATCCACCTGGAAAAGAAAGATAGAATAGAGGAAATGTTTTTTTTTCCATGTTTATCTATCTTACTATTGTAATCTTTTGGAGGAAACCATAAAGAGTATTTATTTATTTATTTATTTATTTATTTATTTATAAAAGACACACCAACAATATGCTCACAACAATTAAGCAGACAATGTTATAAATAAGTAAAAAGTGAAAAATTACTATTTAAAAATGCTTAAATCTAAGTTTACTTGAACAAAAACATCTCACTCCTCACTACCAAGATTAAGGCCATATGAACACATCAATTATATCATCATAACTCCTTCAGTTCTAAATCAGTTTGGAAAATTATTATTTTTTATTTGAAAAAAGCATGAACTTATATATATATATATATGAGTCGTGTTTTATATCAAGCCAAAGGAACTAATTTTATGAAAATTAATTAAATGAAAAAAGCTGAATTCGGTTTTTTTATAAGACACAATCCTTAATTACATATTGGCTTTTACCCGCGACTTCGTCCGTTTGACTAAAATAAAATAGAGAACAGCATTCAGCGTAAAGTTCGCCAAATTACCACATCTTATATTCCCACTGCGAATTAAAGTTCAAAATAAACATTATAAGAGAAATAATTTTTATTTAAGTATACTTGTTCACAAGCTCTTTTCATCCAACCTAAAACAAGTATTTATTTATTTATTTAATACAAAAACGTGTAAATATTTTTTTTTTATACCACTGAGGTGGCAAACAGGCATACGGCCCACTTGATGGTAAGTGGTTACCGTAAAACACGTTATTTGCAACAATTTAGTAAAATAGTTAAATTTCTTTTTTACCAAAGGTTGACTGGGAGAGAATGCTACACAGTATTAAGTCCGTCTTTTGTACCAAAAATTTTTTTTGTAATATTAAGCACATTTCAAAAAAAGTGTTTGGTACAAAAGATGGACTAAACATAAATATAAAATATAGATTTAAGAATAAATAAATAAAAATCCAGAGCTCTTTAAAATAACTTACATGCTAAATCTCTTAAAAAAATTATAATTCTATTCTAATAATCTAAAATAAGATATACCCTTCAAAAAGTTTTTACCAGTTCATGAAAGTTTTTTTTTAAAGTTTAAAGTTTTAAAGCCCTTTTCTATCTGTTCTCCCTTAACTAAAGGTTGTCTGTAAGAGATTGCCCTAGCGATAAGACCGCCTTTTGTACCTTTATGTGTATATATCAATCTGTATTTATGTTACTGTATTTCACTTGAATTATTCACTTGTCATTGTATATTTTTATTTATGGTGCAATAAAGAGTTAAATAAATAAATAAATAAATAAAATAAATGATGCATACCTTCTGGTGATATTACAGTCCTGTTACTGGCTTCTTTGTGATGTTTACCCAGTACTAGCCACTTGATATCGGCTGCAGGGTTCGAGGGCGCCGTGCTGCAGCTCAGAGGAACAGGATCGCCCACCCTCGCTTCCGAGGGCCCGGAAATAGTCACGTGTGAAGGAGCGACTGTAATGGAAAAAATACCATCAGTTTATCTGAGTTTACATAACGGGTTATGGCAGTGAATTTACAGGGTACAGAGGAATAACACCTGAGTCCTCAGGAATGGCAACGCATGGGGAGCATCATGGGCGAAACAGTATACTCTGTTATGTCCATGGTACTGCTTATGTCTATAGACGACGGTTACCACTTTCCATCAGGTCGTCCGTCAGCTTGTTTGCCATTCTAAGTTGCATAAAAAAATCGATTTGTTCCCAATTCAATTGCGCACAAGTCACCAATCCGTTATTTTCCTTTGGCCAAATTTTTCCAAAAAAAAATTAAACAACAGGAAAATATCATGGGATTATCGAAAAGTGTTTTAAATATTGAGAAGGAAGGGTATCGCTTTCAGGAGCAACTGCAGCGGGCGATAAAGGAAAATAAACAAAGTTTTGATAAAAAGCGCGAAAAGTTTCCGAGGCATCAATACAGTTTGGAGGATTAAAACTTTGTCTTATAAATGTCAGTGAGGACGGCGAATTGAGACGGATTGTCGTGTTAGAGGGGGACGGAGGTATTTTGTACAATTGCCTTATTGCCTCCCCACGTTTAGGATGAAACAAAACGATGTGTTTTCCATATTGTATAATTTAAAATGTTACATTCATGTGTGAATGCTTGGTTTATTAAATAACTTTATTGAGTCAAAGTCTTTCGAAACTTGACTTTGCATGACTTTTAATGTGTTTGATGGAGGAATATTGTGGAAGAAAGTCAAAATATATGTAGTAGGATGACGGTTATTTTACAAATCATAAGAAGAGGTGTGACAGAGACAAAAGAAATTGATAGATAAACTGGACAGTTGGATTTTTAAAATACTTGTTTTTTCCTGAAAAAAATTGGTTACGTGATTCTTCGCAAATACTATGATAGATTGTATATTCTTTATTGTATTGTTTTTGACTGCTTTCATAAAGAAAGAAGTTTTCAATTCGGCTGTATTTTTTTTTTTATTATGTTTCTTACCTCTCATAACTTGGTAGGTTGTAAATCGATTTGGAAAATTCTTTTTTATTTGAAATATAAAATCTGAACGGAAATAATATGTAAGTAACCCAATAATAGTAAACTAGTAGTATAATCCTTTTAGATAAACATCGAAATTTTCGAAATTGGTTCACAACTGATGGAGATATGAGGTGATAAACATAATAGAAAAAAAAACACAACCGAATTGAAAACTACCTTTTTGAAGTCGGTAGAAAAATTAAGATTAGATTTGTTTTTTACTTACGAGATAAATGAATAACTTACTGATATAGCTATCAAAGTTAACACCCATCAAACGATGTCAACTCGAGAAAAAAAAACATAGAAGAATTTTTTTTTTATACAACTTAGAATGGCAAATAAGCTGACGGCCCACCTGATGGAAAGTGGTAACCGTTACCTAGAGACATGAGCAATACCATGGACATAATAGAGTATACTGTTTCGTCCATGATACCCCCCATGCGTTGTCATTTCTGAGGACTCAGGTGTTATTTCTCTGTACCCTGTAAATTCACGCCATATCCCACCCTTCAAACCGAAACACAGCTATGCAAACATAACTGCTTCATAGTAGAAACACGAACGGGATAGAGATACCACGGTAAAATTTATAGAATAAAAGAATTACTATAGTATTAACAAGATGAATATTTTATTTATTTTATTTTATTCCAAAATGTTTACACAACGCACATACTATTTGAAAGTTTTCATAAATGTCCAATTTCGGCGAGCGCCCGTAACCTGCCTTGTTACAATCCAAACTTCTCAAAAGTAGTTCCGTGTGCGAGATCCGAACATAAATCCACAGTGATCCGGGCGAGTTACAGTGCAAGTTTCGACAGGGCATTCAGTAAATAGTCCGGTCGACTTTGTTGGTTATTTTCACTTTGTATCGATATTATCGAAAAATTTTGATACTTTAAATATTTTTATTGCGGATTATTGGAATTGTGAAATTAATGGCGTGAATTTACTGGGTACAGAAGAATAACATCTGAGTCCTCAGGAATGGCAACGTATGGAGGGTATCATGGGCGAAACAGTATACTCTGTTATGTCCATGGTACTGCTCATGTCTATAGGCGACGGTTACCACTTTCCATCAGGTGGGTCGTCAGCTTGTTTGCCATTCTAAGTTGTATAAAAAAATGTTTCAATGGGTCTTCTAAACCATTCAGATATTTAAATGTCATTTCATTATCAACATAATTTTTTTTTAATGGATGATAATGTAATGGTATCCCACCACCCCGCCCGCGCTATCGGTATACACCGACGGGGCACCAGTGAAGGATGATAGATGAGGATGAAGCAGGTCAGTTAGCGCATCGCGACAAATTCAACAAGAATTGTTCACGATGGTTTCCAAGGGGAACTACGTGCAGCTCGACCTAATAAGGCATATTGCTAGCAATGGGGCTGTCAAACTCCATTGCTAACAATCCCTTCCCCCCATCAACATCATTACATTCTCTGTAAACTATAGATCATCATATCAGCCTTTAACCGTCCACTGCCGAACATAAGCCTCCCCCTAGGGGAGTTTTGCTAGTAGCAGCCACGCTTGGCAGGCGGGATGGCAACCGCAGTTAGACTTTAGAGATGTTTTAAGAGGGACGCTGCTGCCCATCCCTTGCCCTTCCTTAGCCACCTCTTCTGACACCCACAAGAAAGGAAGGGGTGGCCTATCCTATATCGGGAATGACACGGATAAACTGTAGGTATTATTATATAATAAAAAAAATATATTAATGGTTATATTAAATAGATTTTTGGTTCTTGATATTTTCCAACAATCCTTGCAATGTTACATTAAGGCTGCCAATTTGTTACTTTAAATCTATAGCCGTCATTCTTTCAATGTATATAATATCGAATGTAATGCAGAGCAGTTGTGTGAGTGCAAATTTAATGCTGTTTTATGTAATATTTATTTTATAAATGTATTAATTTGTAATCTGTTGCCTTGCTATAAATAAATAAATAACTAATGCTTAGCTGGTAGCTTAATGCCATGTGGCATTAAGCTCGCCACTTGTACAAAGTTTTATTGTGCAATAAAGAATAAATAAATAAATAAATAAATAAATAAATAAAATATTAATAAATGCCAGTTAATTACATGAACTATGTGATACGTGCAAAATATTAGTTTCTAATATGGCGTCTATTAATATTTTAATTCATTCTCTTTAAGCCCGTCTATAATAATTAGAAAGCTGATTAGATATTTACATTCGAGGTTGTCTGGAGGGCGGGCGCGAAAAATTATTTGCACCGTCACAATTTGACATTGTGACGATATGAATTATGTTACAGATGCTTCTTGAAAGTGACATTTACCAGAGGCAGGTTTTTGTATAAAAGTCGTTTGCCTGGGGACTGTTGTCCCATTCGCGTTCCTGCCTCTAAACTGCTGTGCTTGCATGACTGTTTCAGTTTGATAGGTATGGAGTATGGTAGTAAAATTATAAGATTTTTTTAATGGATGATAATGGAATGCTATCCCCGCCTGTGCTATCGGTACACACTGGCAGGGCACCAGTGAGGGATGATAGGTGAGGGTGAAGCAGGCCAGTTAGCCCACCATGACGAATCTAATAATAAATCAATTACGATGGTTTCAAGGGGCAATCACGAGGAGGTCGACCTGACATATTGCTAGTATCCCTACGAGATATTATTAGGATTCAAGAATGGTAACACATGAAGGGTATTATGGGTGTAATAGTGTATTGTGCAGTGTCCATGGTGCTGTTCATGTCTATAGGTGAGGAAATTAGTAAAAATTGATATTTTATTTTATTACTTTTTTTTAAACAAATTTCACATCTCCCCTCTTAAGGAGAGGAGATGGCAACTAACCCCCAACAGAAGCACAGTCGGCCGGGGTTCAAGGCCCCAGGGAGAAAAACCGGCGTACAATGCGGGCAGAATCTAAAAGCACCGCTTTCTGCGTCTTTCCCGGGAGTGAGCCACTTCGGAATCCAAACCGTCTGAGATGTTGTTCCAGACTAGTTCTAAACTGCCATAAACTAAAGTTTCATCCCAACCATCTGGACGAGTGGCGGTCCTCTACCGTGCATTTTTCAAAATACTTTCTTTCACGCACAACCTTTGGAATCAACTTCCAGCAGCAGTATTTCCGAACCGATACGACAACATAACCTTCAAGAAAAGAGTATATTCCTTTTTAAAAGGCCGGCAGCACACCTACAATGTCGCTGGTGTTGTGTGTGATCATGGGCGGCGGTAGTCACTTACCATCAGGTGAGCTGCATGCTCGTTTGCTTGCTCGTTGTGTTGTAAAAAAAAAGAAGACGGGCAAAGCCGCAAATCATATGCTAGCAAGTATTACATATAAATAAAATCGATGACCCCAGTTATTAAGGATGATTGCTTGTTTCAAAGCGTACCCAGTTTCCACTCGACTGGTCACGGGTTCGATTACTGTTCGAGACGTTTCACGTTCAAAGAGATTCGATTATATCATGGAATTTGCGAATGCGGGTAGTTTTTTAATAGGGCAAATATATAAAAAAAATATTTCTCTGATAATTGTAATTTATTTGACAAAAAGCAATAACTACAATCGTAAAAACACACATACACACACACACACATGCACGCACGCACGCACGCACTCACGCACGCACGCACGCACGCACGCACGCACGCACGCACGCACGCACGCACCCACGCACGCACGCACGCACGTATACATACACTCCTGCACACGGACACGTGCGCTCATACATATACACATGCGTACACATACATATAAATATTTCGCAGACACATTACACTTATAATTTAATATTTGAATTAAGAACTCTGAATCAGATTGAGAATATTTGAATTTACAATTCGAAATAATGTTGAAAATATTTAAATTTAGAACGCCTATCTAGCTAATAAATCTGCTTGTTGCCAAGCAAAATGTACTTACATTTTGCTTAGCGACAAAAAGATTTTTGCTCTGAAAAGAGAATAAACTTAAATAGTCACATAATTAATATGAAATTATGATTATAAAATGAAATGACAAAATCTTTTCAGAACTGGTAACGTTATTACGTAAAATAGATACAAACTATTTTAATGATTCTTTTTTTAATAGACAGAGTCAATTTCTGTGTTAGTTTCATTTATACTAATTTCTTTGCAAATGAACTTGGTTTCGGTATAGAAAAGTCCACCCCTTCCTTTCCCGTGGGTGTCGTAAGAAGCAACTAAGGGAGAGCAAGAGATGGGCAGCAGCGTCCCTCTTAAAACAATTCCAAGGCCTAACTGCGGTTGCCAATCCGCCTGCCAAGCATGGCAATGACTGGCAAACTTCCTCAAGGTGGAGACTGATGATCAGCAGTGGACAGTTAAAGTCTGATTCGATGAAGCAACTCAACTGTCAAATAAATTTAGTAATCCGGGACGGTAACGTATTAGGAGTAATATAGGCGTCACAGTATATATCTGATGTCCATAATACTTTCTGAAGTCTACAATCAACGATTACCACTCTCCATCAGGTGGGTCGTTAGTCTGTATGTCATTTTTGTTCGTATAAAAAGTAGGTAATTCACTTAGTGGACTTTGAGTATTAAAGCAAAGTGATGTAAGTCAAAAACGAACGTTTTCCGTTAGGGTTCAGTTGTTGTACCGATGGGACCCCATTTGAAGTTACCTGTTCGATGTAAATAAACAATGAGCTAGGGACGAAGAGAGCCGTTTCGGGCTTGGTACAAGTTAGAGACTGAGACGATTATAATATTGTTGCCACGCTTGTCACGATGATATTAGAATAGTAACTCTGCCTACATTAATGATATACGCGTTGGCGAGGCACCAGTTAGCCAATCGTGATGAATATACCTAGAATTCAGCACGATGGTTCACAGGGGAGCCACGTGGAGGTCGACTTGACAGGGCATACTGCTAGCAATGGAATCGGTAGTCCGCATTACTAATAACCCCTCTCACCCCCTCCCCCTCTCAATGGCAAACGCAATTAGACTTTCGTAATGTTTTAAGAGGGGCACTGCCGTCTATCTCTCGACCATAAAGTTGGACGTGGACAGTAACAAAGTAGAGTGAGTTAATATATATTTCTCAAACATGCTTGAAAATATGAGCATTATTTTGACAATCTTCTTCGAGATAAATCAAAATTGCCGTACTGACTAGATACATGCGGGCAGCGACCGGCAAAAGTTGTATGAAAATCCATATCTGTCCTGTTTTGCGGCCAGATAAATTACTATGTAAACTCATATCTGTCCTGTAATTTAAAAATGGAATGACCTTTTACTTCGAAACATGGCTACCAAGGAGGTAACTAATAAAAGGTTTTATTTATATTTCGAACTGACTTGAAAATAAAAAAGCTGTTTATTGAAAAAAAAAAAACAGAGGAACATTATGGCGCTGTTCGTTATTCGTCATTGAACTTAAAAAGTAAAATTGTGTTTTTGATTTCCGCGCATTGTTTGAGAAAAGTACTATACAAGCCTTGGCCACAACTAGGCATTGATGGACTCACGTATGTGTACCTCGGCTATGCCTCGGCCCACATTTGTACGTTCGTCCATCAATGCCTCAGTTGCTGGCCGCTGCAGTAATGTACTATAAATATATCATCATTTTCCGACCGGCAACCTGTTTGTTTTCAACCCTCTATATATATATATATATATATATATATATATATATATATATATATATATATATATATATATATATATATATATATATATATAAAGTAACTAAAGTATATAGAGATTACTATTTATTACCTAGCCCTACTAAAAACCCGCTTCCTCTCATCACTTGGACACAAACAAACCCGAATTAATGTTTTTTACAATCTCCCACTTTGATATATTTACTTTATCAAAGGATTTGGAAATACATAAAACGTATCAGAATTACACAAGTACAACTCCAGCCTCCGTTGAAGGTCTCTCAAAGGGTCCCAGTTAGTTGGATGTAAATTTATAAAATTTACCGATGCTCATAATTTATTTATTGGGTTTTATTAGGATTGATCATCAGAATAATGATGTCTTATAATTATTTATTTTGTAGCAACATTATATATTATATTCTTTTACCATCTATTTTTTTAATGGGTAATAATAGAATGGTAACCGGGGGGAAAGGGGTTGTTAGCAATGGAGTTTGACAGCCCCATTGCTAGCAATATGCCCTATAAGGTCGACCTCCACGTGGTTCCCCCTGGAAACCATCATGAACAATTTTTGTTGAATTCATCACGATGGGATACCTACTTCATCCTCACCTATCATCTTTCACTGGTGCCCCGCCGGTGTATACCGATAGCGCGAGTAGGGTTACCATTCCATTGTCACCCATTAAAAAAAAATAGTAACCCCGCCTGCGCTATCGGTATACTCGTACACCGACTAGGCACCAGTGAGAGATGATAGGTGAGAACGAATGCAGGTCAGTAGGCTCACCATGATGAATTCAACAAGGATTAACCATGGTGGTTTCTAGGGGGAACCGCGCGAAGGTCGACCTGATAGGGTGTATTGCTAGCAATGGGTCAGTTAGACCCCATTACTAGCAATCCCTTTCTCCCCCGACCCTCTCTTCTTCTACCATGTAGTCCCGGCATAGAATGGGCTACTACTTCCTTTCCCGTGGGTGTCGTAAGAGGCGACTAAGAGAAATTACTGGTTGAGAAATGGGCAGCGGCATCTTCTTTAAAACATCACCAAAGGTCTAACTGCGGTTGCCAATCCGTGTGCTAAGCGTGGCAATTACTAGCAAAACCCTCCTTTGTAAACTGGATCGATACGTTGGAAGGTATTTTCAACTGAATTTTATGCTACTTAGAATGGCAAACAAGCTGACGGCCCACCTGATGGAAAGTGGTAACCGTCGTCTATAGACATGAGCAGTACCATGCACATAACAGAGTATACTGTTACGCTCATGATACCCCTATGCGTTGCCATTCCTAACGACTCAGGTGTTATTCTTCTATACTTTGTAAATTCACTGCCAAATCCCACCCTTGAAATCGATACACAGCTATGCAAACACAACTGCTTCACGGTAGAATCACGAATGGGACAGAGGTGCTTAAGCAAACGACTTTTGTAGTCTTCCTCTGGTAGCAGCTAGTCGAAGACTTCAAATAGGCGTTCCGCCCGTGACACCCCCCATGCGTTGCCATTCCTGAGAACTCTGGTATGGGAACGCGTAAATGGAGTAATAGAAAAATCGTACTTACATAGAACAGTGAGATCAATTTCAGCCTTCAGCGTGTTGCTTATCATTATATTCTTCGCCTCGCACGTATACCGCGCCTTGTTGTCTGACGCGTCCGCTTTGAACGATAGCACGTTCTCTGACATCCGGCCGCTTGTCCTGAAGCAAGAAAGAGATTTTTTTTTATACAACTTAGAATTTTATCGCAAACAAGCTGACGGCCCACCTGATGGAAAGTGGTAACCGTTGCCTGTAGACATGAGCAGTACCATGGACGTAACAGAGTATACTGTTTCGCCCATGATACCCTCCATGCGTTGCCATTCCTGAGGACGTAAGTGTTATTCCTCTGTACCCAGCAAATTCACGCCATATCCCATTCTTCAAACCGAAACACAGCCATGCAAACACAACTGCTTCACGGTTGAAACACGAATGGGACAGTGGTATCCAAGCAATCGACTTTTGGACAAAGTCTCCCTCTGGTACGTATATACGGGTCACTTGATGGTAAACGGTTACCGTAGCCTATGAACTGAGGTAACAAATACCACGGGTATTGCGCGCGTGTTGCCGACCCTTAAGAAACCTCTTTACACCTTTCTGACGAACCCCATGCCCATGCAGAATCTCTTGGAAAAAGCTCGGCAGGGAGCTCGTTCCATAACCTGAGTGGGAGAATAGAGTTGTACGCGACCATCTAGGCTGTAAGGTATGTGGGTGAACTCCCTGTCGATGGCGAACCGTACGATGGTAAAAACTGACCTTGGGCATCATATTGAACAGTATTAGATTGTTTGTTTTTTGTCGCTTCCGGCCTTTCTGTCCCTATGTATGCTTAGATCTTTAAAACTACGCGACGGATTTTGTTGCGGTTTTTTTTATAGATAGAGTGCTTCAAGAGGAAAATTTATATGTATAATACATGCATAAATATAGTAGAAAAACACTGGCAATTTTTGTGGTTTCTAATGTGACGTGACGTAATGTACATCCGTGCGAAGGCGAGGCGTGTCGCTAGTAAATTATATATTTCTTTATCTATAATAATTTTAAGAACAAGGAAAAAAACTTAAATTAATAAATAAATAAATGCACGCAAGAATGTTTGACTACCCTACGCAGATGTTATCAATTTTCTATTAAGGCATTTCACACAATTTCGGTTCACCCAATAACATTCTGTGAGAAACGCAGCGGCGCGTGGCATAGTGCTGCGCCGCTGCTTGCTCTACCGTGAACGGTGGTGCTCTTGCCTTTCTGAGCCCTGGCGTGGTTTAATTATGGATTTAATAGATGTTTACATCCGAATTTAGAGGCTGGGAACGGGTAGCAGATTTGTATTTTCAAGTTAGGCTACTTGGAAGGTAGGTAGATATAACAATGGCTTAGTTTAGTAACTGTTATGTATATGTAGCTTACAGATATAATAAAATTATAATTAGACGATATGTGTACACTAGGGGTGAGGTATATATATATATATATATATATATATATATATATATATATATATATATATATATATATATATATATATATATATATACCTTGGCAATACCTATATATTTAATTTATTTTATTTTACACTTTATTGCACCATTTATCAAATAGTAAACACATATAATTGTAATGAGAAATGATACAGAAGGCGGCCTTATCGCTAAGCAATCTCTTAAGGACAACCTTCGGGTAGAGGACATTGAGAAAAGAAAGAAAAGCAAAGGGTAGGTGGCGCACTGTTATATATATAAACAAATATATACATATACACAAACTTAAAAGCATACATACAACAGGAGAGAGTGAAATTGGAAATTGAAGGTAGAAAACGGGAAAACAGTACTTAAAGGGAGAGATAATATAAGATTTAACAGAGGTTTTGGTTATGTATTGGTCCGATAACGAATTAAAAGTTTAAAGAATTAAAAGACCGAATGAAATTTGACACATGGATGGAGTTTAGAACATATAGTATATTTTTTATACCAACGAACGTAGGCAAAGTCATAGAAAACAACTAGTTTTTAAATAATTCAAACATGAATTTGAAAATTCAAACGTTTACAGACCAAGGGCTTACTTTGTAAAGGCGATTTCTAAACAAACATTGGACTGCCAACTAGTCAAAACGTCATAACTCAAGAAAAGTCAAAAATCCCGCAAGACTAAAGTTTGACTTCCCCTCTTTTTGGCGCATGTCTTCGTTTAATTTAAGAATTCATAATTATTTTTAATTCCAATTCCTCAACGGCTTATGATATTTTCTGTGACAAATAAAAATAAAAGGAAAGAAAGAAAGAAAGAGAGAAAGAAAGAAAACTTTTATTGCCAATAACAAAAAGAGTAAAATTAATTATCAATAGAAAACAAACTCCACATTTGTTATTGTCAAAATGGCCGCCACTCAGCATGTGCTGCGGCGAATTAATTGCTACAGCGCTGATATTCTGTGGTGGCCAAAATAGTAATTAGTAATAAAATAATATTTCCGTATGATCCCGGCATAGAATAAGCCACTCCTTCTTTTATCGTGGGTGTCGTAAGAGGCGATTAAGGGAGGGCGAGGGACGGGTAACAGCGACCCTCTTAAAACATGTTTAACACCTAACTGCAATTGCCAATCCGCTTGCCGAGTGTGGCAACTATTGGCAATATCACCCAAAAAGGAAGCTAATGTTCAGCAGTGGACAGTTAAGGGCTGATATGATGATGATGAACACAATAATAAGTTTTTTTAAATAAATAAATATTACAGTTTCAATATATCGCAAAGTATCTTTTTTTTTTATAACACAGGAAGCAAACGAGCATGCGGCTCACCTGATGGTAAGTGACTACCGCCGCCTATGATCACCCGCAACACCAGCGGCATTGCAGTTGTATTGCCGGCCTCTTTAAATTTGAAAGATATTTGAACACGATACTTTTAGACTTTATCAGAATTTAGTTTGTAAATTCAAGATATTATTTAAATTAGGCATTTTGAAATAAAACAATTCAAATATAAATTCTAGATTGCGTACTTTGATACTAGATGGCGCTGTTCAGTAGTATTTATTATTACAAACAGATCAGTTTTATATCTCTTTATGACAAATCGGTAAAAAGTAGCCATGTACATTTTGAGTTTGTGCAATAATAGATTGGAATGTTTTATCGTGCTATGCATAATAAAACAGTTTTGAAGAGAATTGAAGCGTTGACGGGAAAAAACATGAGTGCTGCTAAAATGGCAGCTTCCTCACAAAATAAAACCGGTCAGGTGTGAGTTAAACTCACATGTCGAGGATTCCGCACATAGATATGAGATTAAGAAGGTAAAAGCCCTTAAAATATTAAAAAAAAAAAAAAAAAAAAAGATATGAGATTACTTAAGTAAAATAAGTGAAATAGTCACCTAAAATCTGTTAACAACTGGATCTCAAAATTATATTCGTTTTTTTGAAATTTTCTTTTAGAATTTTTCGAAAACTGTGCTAGTGGGAAACACCTTTTTATTATTTTTTTAATATAAATATATATCTTTTGAAACTGTAATTATTTTCAGATTTTTAGCTTCACGAACTATGGAGATAAGAGGGAAAGTATAGTTTCTTTTTTACATTATCGATCATAAATTAAAAATTACGGAACATAAAAATATATGAAAAACAATTTTAAAATATAAAAACGAAGCTCTTTCATATGATACACTTGGAATTTTGGACTCCCTAGCAAAGTTATTAAAAATATGTGTTTGAAATATATCCACTGCAATAATATGTAAAGGCTAATAATATGTAAAACTATTCCAAATTTAAAATCAATACATTAGCAGTTGCTACGAGAGACATCTGCCTATCTCTAGATAGACAAAGTGATAGACAAAGTTCACCACAATGGTTTCTTCCTATCATTCCCGTACGGAACCCTAAAACCGCTTAACTTCTTTTATAAATATTATATTGTAGAAGGCGCAACTACGGGGCGTTGCGCTAGTTGAGAACTTTCGGATGACGGCGATGAATAATTTCGATGGGAAATTCTGTTCAGAATGTTTAAATTTTAACATCGAGCGCGGGCCAGAAAACCGCTGCTTTCCGAGTTACGCAGCTTTGCCGCGGGAGTTAATGTTTTAGAATGGAATTAAATAATCTACGGTCTTAGTTCGCTTGACATTTGGAATCTTTGGTAAAAACATAAGTTATTATATTTTTAACCGACTTCAAAGAAGGAGAATATTCTAAATTCGATTGTTTTTTTTTTATGTTCGTCTTATTGTTTGTGATAGTCATTTTATCCATTCATTACTTTTTTGTTGTAAACTAAATTTATATTTGAAAAAAGCAACGGCTGTATTTCTTGTAAATCACCCACGGTAAATTTACTACCGTAATGAGACTATTAAGGTACTTATCGTAATATAAATTAATGGGGACTAACATCCCCATTGTCAAGAACTCTTCTCCCTCAGCCATGCAAGTATCACTGCGTGGCTGTAGAAATAAAAAATGGGCTGAGTTTTTTAAATGGGTGATAATGGCATGGTAACCCCACCCGCGCTATCGGTATACACCGGCGGGGCACCAGTAAAGGATGATAAGTGACGATGAAGCAGGTCAGTTAACTCATCGTGATGAATACACCAGGAATTCAGCACGATGATTTTCAGGGGGACCACGTGGAGGTCGACCTGACATACCCATATTGCTAGCAATAAGACTTGTAATCCGCATTACTAACAATGCTCCCCCCAACCCCCCGGCCCCCCAATTCGACAGAGTTACCCATACAAACGAGTTTGTACACTATCCAAAAATAATAAAAACTTTTACCAAAACATCAAAGCCTTCGACGGTAAATGGCAAACTCTCCAGAGAGCACACCACTTTAAGATCGCAATGTATCGACGGTCCCTTCTAATATTTAATGGGGTGAGACTTCAGCGCCCATGGGATCCCATAATGCTGGCGGAATGAGAATCAGGGCTTGGGTCGGAATTATTATGAAGCCTTAACTTTGATCCGTGATTTTATGTGTATTTATCCAACTTAAAAAGGGAAAGATGGTTAGACAAATATATATATATATATATATATTTATATTTTTATTCACACAGGAAGTTAGTGGATGCAGGTGGCTCGGGACCGTTATTTATGGCAGTCTATGGGGGAAGC